ACAACACACACACAACACACAACACACACACAACACACACACAACACACACACACACAACACACACACACACAACACACACACACAACACACAACACACAACACACACACAACACACACAACACACACACAACACACACAACACACACAACACACACAACACACACAACACACACAACACACACACAACACACACACACACACCCACCCACGCACGCACGCACGCACGCACGCACGCACGCACGCACGCACGCACGCACGCACGCACGCACGCACACACACACACACACACGAACACACGAACACGAACACGAACACGAACACGAACACGAACACGAACACGAACACGAACACGAACACACACGCACACACGCACGCACACACGCACACACACACACACGCACACACACAGATAAAAGGATGCCCCATAGTTTCCCATATTTTCGGGATGTTCGTCTTCCCCCCCACTGCCTATATCTACCCATAGTTTCCTGGGAGTCGACGATTACTAGTGTCTGTGTTTTTTTCCCCCTCCTGATACTCCTCTGCTGGAGATCCGCGTGCGCGGCCGCGCGTGGCCGCCCTGCGCCCCCTCTCGCGGCCACGCGCGGCGCCACGTGCGGCGGGCACGTGCGGCCGTCCGCTGCGGGGCGTGCGGCCGCGTGCGGAGGTGCGGGGCGGGAGCCAAAAAAGATTCAAACATAGTCAAAAAATAATCGGGGGACGATTTTTGGACCACTTTTGAATATCTTTGGGTGTGGTTTGACTATGTTTTATTTTTCCGTCCAACATCGGCCTTTAGGGGGACAGGCGCGGCCCGCTGTGCAGGGGCTGTGCGGGCATGTGCGGCCGCGCGCGGGCCCCGTGTGGCCGCGCGGCCAGGAGCGGTGCCCTGTGCGGGCATACCGGGCGCCATGTGCGGGCATGTGCGGGCAGCGCCGGGGTAAGCAACCGCGGTGCGGGCACCTGCTATATATCGACCGACATCTGCAACGCTGCTCACACACACACACACACACTGCACAAAGAAAGGGTTCCAGCGCACGCCGCGCATGTGCGCGTACAGCCGCAGACAACGCTCAAGTGTGGGGGCCAAGCCCGAACAGTGGTGGAACAGCTCAGAACACATGCCCCCGCACATGGCCGCACATGTGCACACGCCACTAGATTATGAAGTTCCGATGTCAACAACATTCGCACATGCGGGGTGCATGCCGCGAGCGTACCCGCACAACGAGCGCTCATGTCGAGCGACAAAAAAATCGCCCGCACGTGCCCCGGACTGGCACTAAGATCGCGAGCCCTCTTCACGGGGTCTCCGGAACTCCCCACCCTTTCTCGGGGTCGGTTTTCCATCCCGCTGGACGGCCCCGGGGCCCGGCGAGGGGTCCCAGAGGCCAGGAGCAGAGAACCGCCGTAGAACTGTTTTTTTTGTCAGCGCGCCCTCTGCACAGGGTCTCCCGAAGTCCCCGCCCTTCCTCGGGGTCGGTTTTCCATCCCGCTGGACGGCCCCGGGGCCCGGCGAGGGGTCCCAGAGGCCAAAGGCAGAGGACCGCCGCAGAACTGTGCTTTTTCGTCAGTGCGCGGGAGGTCCGAGGCCTCTGCCCTGCGCCCGCGCAGCGTGCTGGCGGAGCGGAATAGGGCAGGGCAGGGCACGTTGGAGCAAGGCCGAGTAATGCGGGATGACGACTGATTCGCCGGCCCAACGGGCCAGGGCGTGCTAAGATCTCCGGTACCTGGTTAACAATATTTCTAGTTCGCGCGCGCGGGGCGGCCCCTGGGGGTCCCCGGGCGAAAAGTACCCCGGCAAGGTCCCGGCAAGTCCCCGGCAACAAGGTCGGGTCAGAGATGCCGGAGTTCTGTTTCGGAGTCCAAGAGGGCTCCAGATCGGTCCAAGAGGGCTCCGAGAAGCTTTCTAGACGGTCCAAGAGAGGCCCGAGACGGCCAAAGATCGCCCGAAGACGCCCCAGATGGCCCCAAGACAGCCCAAGAGGCCTCCAAGACGCTCCAAGGGCCTTCCAAGAGGCCTCCGAAGAGGGCCCCAAGTTGCCAAAATCGTTGATTTTCATTGGTTTTTTCGATGTTTTTTTGCGTTCTGGCCTTTTCGCTTCCGGACGCTCCAAGAGGGCCCAAGAGGCCTTCAAGACTGCTCCAAGACGGCCCACGAGGCTCCCAAGACGGCCCCGGAGCGGCCCAAGAGCGCCCCCCAGACGGCCCAAGTGCTGCCCAAGGCGGACCAAGAGGCCCCAAGACGGGCCCAAGAGGGGCTCAAGAAGGGAACCGAGAACTGAAAAATCGAGCCCTCCGCCCCAGAAGGCGCCCAGGACCCCGAATGAGGCCCCAAGAGACTCTCCAAGACACCCCCAAGACGCCCCAACAAGCTCCCGTGAGGCCCCAAGAGGACCAACAACGTCAGGCCCCAGGCCCCAAGAGGACCAACAAATACCGCCAAGAGCCCGCCGAAAGTCCCCCAAGAGACCGTCACGAGAGCTCAGGAGGCCCCCTGGAGGCCTCCCGAGTTCTCCAAGAGGCCTAAAAAGAGGCGCCAAGAGGCCCCAAACGGCTCCACCGAGGCTCCAAGAGGCCACGAACGCGCAAGCAAATGCCTGCGCTGGCACAATACGGGCCGGCGGAATGAGCGAAGCGATTAAATAAAACAAATGGGAGAGAACGATTTAAACAATTAGTTTTTCCTGCTATTTCTGCACAACTTTCTGACTGGAGGAGAACGATTGAAAAAATAGTTTTCCAGCCCGCGGCCGGTTTTTCCTAATCGTCATCCCGGGCGCCGCCGTGTGAACACGACCCCCGGTCATTTATTAATCGTCATCCTCCATTAGGAATAGAGTAGGGGAGCGTAGAGCACCTTCCGTCTTCAGGTCTGTTCTCGGTGGCGAGCGAGGGAGGGAGGTGAGCAGGAGGAGGCCTTCTCGGGAGGCGGCAGGGCTCCCTCCTTCTCAGGAGCCCTCGCGCCTTCTGCGAGGCTATCTGCGTCTCCGGAAAAGACTTAGGACACTTCTCAGAAGGCTGGAGGACCTTCGAGCCTTCTGAGAAGGACCGCCCCTTCTCATTTCACTCCTCCCTCACCGCCTAATTTGGTTTTTGGGTCAAAACTCGCGTCTCTGCTGGCCGTTCGGGGCGATCCCGGCACCCCCAGAACGCTCTCGGCGAGGCGCAGCCGCTGGAACGCCTCCCGAGGCTGGGAAACCGGGGAAAGCCGCCGAGAACCGCCGAAACCGTCCGCAAACCTCGAACCTCGCACCCGAACCTTCCCCCCCCTGGGCTCGCCGCCGATGTTCGCAGTCCGCCTCCGCCTCCTCCTCCGCCTCCGCCTCCGCCTCCTCCTCCTCCTCCTCCTCCCTCCTCCTCCTCCCTCCTCCCTTCCCTCCTCCTCCTCCCTCCTCCTCCTCCTCCTGCGCCCGCGCGGAGGTCCTGTCTGCGGCGCCGCTTCTCCGCCTCCTGCCAGCCCTGCGGCTTCTCGGCCGCCACGGCCGCGGCGCCCTGGGCCTCTCGCCGTCTCTCCGCCGGGGGGGGGCCGCGCCCGGGGGGGCGCGCGGGGGAGGCAGGATCGGTCAGCACCCAATCGGGCCGCATCATTAGGAGGCTACAGTGAGCGGCTTGAATAAGGAACACTTACTTTTCAAAAGGAGCTCGGTCGTTCCTTAGTTTAGCATGCGTTATTCACACTTCCTTATGTGTCATTTGTTATTTATCGTTCCTTATGCGTTATTCCTTGGGATAAAAAGTGGCTTCGTTCCTTATTTATCGTTCCTTAGGTCAGGCCGATGACTGCACATGCGAAGCCTACCCCACCACCACCCCACGACTTCCAAGGGGAGAGGTGGGGTGCACTTCGTTCGGGGCCCAGAATCGGATCGGCCGCGCAAAGGTGCACAACGGCGTCGCGCAAGCGTCGGGCCGCGTCGGATCGTCGGGAAGCCGGACTCGGAACGGATCGGGCCTGCCAGAATCGGAATCGGCTCGGATCGATCGGGTCGACATGGGCCCTGTTCTGAAGGGGAGGAGGTTGCGGGAAGAGGCATACAGTCATCGGCCTGACCTAAGGAACGATAAACAAGAAGCGAAGCCCCTTTTTTATCCCGAGGAATAACGCAGAAGGAACGATAACTAACACATAACGCAGAAGGAACTGTGAATAACGCATGCAAAACTAAGGAACGACCGAGCCCCTTTTGAAAAGTAAGTGTTCCTTATTCAAGCCGCTCACTGTACCAAGACCAAGACCAAACTCGAGGATTCCAAGATGTCCGTCAACGAGGAATTGCGGCACCCAACACAGATCTGCAGCCACCAGTCGCGATGAGCTGAGGACTGTGAGATGGCAACCACGCTTAGGAAGCCCAGGATTCGGAAGTCACTGGTTTCCGTTCATAACAACCGAAACCCTCCCGAAACACTCCAACAACCCTCCTGAAAAAGGCTGCGGGAGACTTTTCGGAGGGTCTCGGGAGGGCTTTGGGAAGGTTCTCGTCGTTCGGGGGGGAAACCAACCTCTAGCGAACCCTGGGCTTTCTAAAGCTACGCTGCCCTCTGTACTGGAGACTGCGTTCGGCCTGCGGCTGTCCGCCTCGTGGCGGCACATGCAGGGAGAGGCGGAGAAGGAGGCCCGACTCCGCGCCCTCGACACCCGACAGTGCGCGGTGCGCGGTTGTCTTCGCCGCCCAGGAGGAGGAGGAGGAGGAGGAGGAGGAGGAGGAGGAGGAGGAGGAGGAGGAGGAGGAGGAGGAGGGGAGGAGGAGGAGGAGGAGGAGGAGGAGGAGGAGGAGGAGGAGGAGGAGGACTGCTCCGGCCCGCCAGCTGCCGTGCAGGCGGCGAGGGGGGCAGGCTCGGGCGGAGCCTCGCGCGCGGAGAACAGCGCGCGCGACGCCCTGCCTGGACGGGGGCCCCGGAGCCCACCGCTCTCTCTGCGCCACCTTTCGGGCTGGGTCGATCCGCGAGGGCCCCCGGGGCCCGAGGTGGGGCAAAGGCGCCCGGCGCCAAGCACTGCAGCGCGCCCAGATCTGAGAGCGGGGGGGGGCGGGGGCGGCGAGGGCACCGCCGCTCAAGAGCGGTCCCCCGGGACCCCCTCTCCTGGGGGCGAAGCTGACAATTGCTTGGAGCCGCGCCCGGCCCTAGCGGCGAGGAGGCCCCTGTCTCCTCTAGAGGCCTCCTCGATGAGGTCGGAGTAGTAGGAGGGGTCGGAGGATCGGGCCGCATCGGCGATGCAGCGGCGACGTCGGCGTGGAGAAAATCGGGTCCCACATCGAGCCGCATCGGCGATGTAGCACGATCCTCCGACCCTATCTACTCCGACCCCATCTAGGAGGCCTAGATCCCCCCTCTCTGCCAGCCAAGACCTATGCTGGGACAGCTCAGCATCCTGGCTGAGAACGAACTAGCGTGCAGCTGGCTTCCTCCGAGACCCAACGCTGCGACCATATATATATATAGGTGTGCACGTATGTATGGCTGTATGTATGTATGTATGTATATGTATGTATGTATGTATGTATGTATGCATGCATGTATGTATATATGTATGTATTTTTGCATGTATGTCTGTATGTATGTATGTTTGCATGTATGTATGTATGGATGTGTGTATGTATGTATGTATGTATGTATGTAGGTATGTATGTATGTGTGCACGTATGTATGGCTGTATGTATGTATGTATGTATATGTATGTATGTATGTCTGTATGTATGTATGTTTGCATGTATGTATGTATGGATGTGTGTATGTATGTATGTATGTATGCATGTATGCATGTATGTATGTATGTGTGTATGCATGTATGTATGTATGCATGTATGCATGCATGTATGTATGTATATATGTATGTATGCATGCACATCTGCATCTGTGTGTGTGCATGTATGTATGTATCTATGCATGCATGCATGGATGCATGCATGCATGTATGTATGTATATATGTATGTATGTATGTATGTATGTATGTATGCATGTACGTGTGTATGCATGTATGTATATATGTATGCATGTATGTATGTATGCATGGCTGTATGCGAATATGTATGCATGCATGTATGTACCATACATGTATATACATGTATGTATGCATATACAAATGTATGTATGCATGTGTATATGTGTGTTTGTATGCATGTATGTATGCATGTATGCATGTATGTATGTATGTATGTATGCATGCATGTATGCATGCATGCATGTATGTATGTATGTATGTAGGTATGAATGAATGTATTTATGTATACATGCACGTCTGTATGTATGATTGTATGCATGCATGTATACAGGTATGCATGTATGGATGTATGTACGTATGGATGTATGTACCTATATACAGACGGCCGAACACATGTGATCAATGAAACGATCAGTCAAGAAACCTGGGCCAGCTTCCCGCAAGCTTCTTGAACATTTTTTGCATCGGCGGCAAGGCAGGGTGACTGCGCTGGCGGAGGGCTATCTAAGCGGGGGTCCCGTTGTAGCGAATTGTGCCACCAAGCAGGAGGAGAGGCAAGGCAGAGTGAGCGGCCGAAAAAGGGGGCGGGAGGGGAGCGAGCCGCTCAGGGGGACGGGTCATGCCCCGAGCCTGGGCCAATTTCTGCTGTCAACGCTGGATGGGGCGGACGTGCTCCAGGACTCGGGACAGCTCTCCAGCGAGTTGGTCAAGACACGCTGGTCCGACCTTTCGGGAACTAGGAGGCTTCTGAATCACATTCTCGACCGTATCTGCTTCGAGGGGAGCGAGACATCGCGGCCAGCGCCCCGACCTCCGTCTTTCTGCGCCACTCTTCGCGCCGAATCGGTCTGTGAGGGCCGCGGGGCCCGAAGCCGAGCGCCCGGCTCGCAGGGCCCCGCGAAGCGGCCCTGCGAAGGCATCGTATCGGATAGGGCGGAGCCAGGCATGCGACGCTCTGATTTGTGTCCATCCGGACGTCCCGGCCCTGTCCTGGCGGCGCGCGGGAGGGGGGTACGTAGGGGGAGGGGGGAAGGCTTCGTAGGAGGAGGCTGCTTCTGTAGACGGCGCCGCCCCTACATCTGCACAGGAGGCCCGCGCCTTCTGAGAAGCAGGGGTGCTTCTAAGAAACCTTCCCCCTTCCCCCTACCCCCCTCTTTGGGTGTCCCAAAACCGTGTGGTGACAGACCTGGCGGTGACCTCGAAATCCGCAAAGACCTTACCGCACGGTCCGTCACCACACGGTTTTGGGACCCTGGAGGCTTCAGTCGCCCGAGACATCCTCGGAGAACGACCCAAATCCCAAAACCGTGCGGTGACCCCGAATCCCCACCGACTCACCACACGGTGTGGTCACCACCCCGTTTGGGAGCCCCCGAGGGCCCTCTGCGCGTGGCCGACTTTCCCCGGGACCGGTTTCTCATCCCGAGTCATTCTTCGACGGTCCCGCGGCCCGCTGAGGATTCCCGAGGGGCCGCAGACGGCGAAGCAAAACAATCAGCTTCGCCTGATTTTCTCCCGCCGCAAGCATTTTTTTTTTTTTTGTTTTGTTGGTTTTCTTGTCTTTTTTGTTGTTTTGTTTTTTCTTCTGATTCGCGATAACTGGCGTGATCGGGGGAGGGGGGGGAATTCGTCCCCCCCCGCGATCATAGCACGCCGGGGGGCCGCCGGGGATCTCAGGAAGTCCTCGACGACTACGCAGGCAACCTTTGCAAAGGTGAGCAAACTGGCGTGACGTGATCTGGGGGGGGGGGGGAGGGAGAAGGCCGATCACGGCCGTTATCGCCCAGACTCTAAATTAGCCTGGCGAAGGACCCAACCATATGCAGTTGAGAGTACCGCAATTGTGAATATCTTCTTCGGTGGCGCTCCCTATGGGGCCACGAGCCGTATGAGGGGTGTGCCGAAATGCGTGGCAGTGTACACAACACGAACGAAGACGATAGGTCCGAATATGAAAGCTTGAGCGCGTGCGAGTCGGATCGCGAGCGAGTCTGATTATGAATGAATCTGCGCGCGATTGATTCTATTCGCATGAATGCGTGCATGGATACGCCCAGTGTAAATGTATGTATACGACTGTGAACAGTTTGGGTCTGCGTGACTCTCGGTACTCGTGACTCTGAGCGTCGCCTCTGCAGGGGGCTTCCCTGGGAACCCCGACGGCAGCGCCCGCGCGCCGCGACGCCCATGTCGGCACGCCACACACCTGGTGTGCGGGACGCATGCGGACGGCAGCACTGGGGCCTTCGGTGGAGCTCCCTGTGGGGCCACGAAACGTGTGAGGGGTGTGCCGAAATGGGTGTGCGGGACGCATGCGGACGGCAGCCATGGGGCCTTCGGTGGAGCTCCCTATGGGGCCACGAAACGTGTGAGGGGTGTGCCGAAATGGGTGTGCGGGACGCATGCGGACGGCAGCACTGGGGCCTTCGGTGGAGCTCCCTGTGGGGCCACGAAACGTGTGAGGGGTGTGCCGAAATGGGTGTGCGGGACGCATGCGGACGGCAGCCATGGGGCCTTCGGTGGAGCTCCCTATGGGGCCACGAAACGTGTGAGGGG